CAAGAAGCTGACTACCGTTTTGTTCAGAACAGAGAATAATTGATTACAGAGCTATGTGGCTTTTCCCAGGTCCAAGCTGCTCCACACACATACAAAAAAAGAATTGGATATTTGCGCAGTATTTCTAATCCACAGGTCTCAGAACGAATGCCACTGCTCCTTCACTTAGGAGAAGTCCCAGGTCACAGAAAGGTTAGATTACTTTCCCACAGAGTAAGAAAAGGGCAGAGTCCTGGCTAAAATCTTATGGTTCCCACTGTTGCAGTGGCCCCACAAGGTCCCTTCAAGTCTCCTCTGCTCATGACAGCTCAGAACAAAAATCTCTGTAACATAACCACAGTAGCACAAAGCTCCAGCACAAGCTGAGTGTCTCAGCCATCACCCTGCATCTCAGAGGGACTGGCAGCCCTTTCTGACGGGCAGCCTGTAACTAAGCCCTGAAATGCATGAGCCAGCTCAGACACCGGCAGCACCAGGCAGCAGGGAAGAAGGCAAAGCCAGCCAAGCTCCTCACAGCACGACTCGGCACCTCGGCTGGGCTGCACCTCGTTAGTCTGAAATCTCCAGGGAACACACACCTGAGCACTGCACTGCTGAGGTGACCCTGCTACCCACATGACCATCAACAAATTTCAGGCCCATCCTTGTGGACACACTGCCTTTAATATGGAAGTTTCCTACATTTCCTTCGGGAAAAGATAAGAAACTGCAACAAACAAACAGATTTCCCAAGTCACCAGGGTGACTCTTCTCTAAAGGATTATTCAGGAACTGTGACCAATTTACTGCCTGTTTCTATCTGTCTTAAATTGTGCATGATTACTTTATTCCATTTTGCTGACATTTGTGTTTTGTTTAAGGGTCTCTTTGTGCAATCTTTTGTGTCTGCTTTAAATAAACACTCTTCCTGTGCTTGTTGCAGCATGCTCGGGTTCAGCAAGATGTCTATCACTAAATAACCAAATGAAAAGTTTAATCATCCAAAAGCTAGCTTTCAACCTGCAGTTAAGAAAACAGAAAAGCTAAGGGTGTTCCATATGCATTTTTCTATTTCTTCTAGAAATTTTGCTAGTCCAAGCAAGTTTGATGTTGTGTATTTAGTCCTGTAAGTATCAGTTTAGCACATGGAAACAGACAAAATTTATTCGTACTTTGCAGTCAGAATCAGTCCAATAAAAAAAAAATTATTCATTGTAGTCCTTAAAAAAAACAGTTGTTTTTTGTTACTAGATACTGAGAATGTATGAAAAAAAAAGATACACTAATGGCTTGTTGAGCACATCGACTGCAGAAAATTGGGTAAGCATATCTGAGTAAAACAAGATGTGGAAACAACAAAAAAAATACAAGTCATGCCAAGGTGTCGTTTTTACAAAGTGACTTTTTTAGGAAAAAAAAAAAAAACAACAAAACAGAGAGACAAGTTAATGTCCCAATATGGGACAATAAAGCTATGTTAAAAACACTTGCCATTAACAGCCATCTGGTCTCTCCAATTTGGGGGTAATTTTTATGTGCAGCTGACAGCTTTGCATCATCTTTCCTCATTCATGAAGGATTGTCTCTGCCTCCAGTGTACAAAGCTTCTGAGAAGCTGGATCTGTCCATTACGTTGTGGGTCTCAATTAGCTTGTGCTTCTAATAAACACGTAGCATTCTGCATTAGATTTCCAAACAGAAATCAAACCTAAAAGTTGAAAAAAACCCACATATATGCTAATAATATTCCAGTTCTCTCTAATAACATTCTGCTTGTGTCACCATTGCTTGCAAAAATCAAGAGACAAAGTGTGCTCACTGCCCTTGACATACTGTGATGGTAAGAAAAATCAAGACTGTTTTCTCACTGTTCTCTGAGTACAAGGGTAAATCTCTGCGTAAGCCTATCTTTCTTGATCAGAATGTCTCTGGTGTCCTTCCATCTTTTCCTCCGGTTTGAACTTGTCTCTTCAGAATATTTAGTAAATACAATTCATGTTCACACCTAAAGGAAAGCTACCTTCTTTTGTTTTGTTATGTGTTAGAAGTCTTAAAATACACATGCACAACAAATGGCAGGGTCACACTTCCCTCATTTGCAATCCTTGCAAAGAACACTTATGCAAGAAAAGTACAGAGAAAACTAAAATTCTATTAACATTCAAATCATACTCTACCATTTCCATTCCTCAGATCTGATATAATTTAAATATACATTAGGAATGAGACCAGAAAAAAAGAAACTGGAGCAGCTAAAGTGCTTTGTCTGTTGCCTTGTAGTGCTTCCTTTGATACACAAGAGATGGTGGTCTGATTCTTCCACCAAACCCAAATCAACCCCATAACTGCATCCCACCGACCAAACACCCTGTAAACACTGGGCACATGTACAGAGTATCTAACCCTAGACTACACAAATCAGTCAAAACCTCTGAACAGTCACAAGTTGTTGATGGGGCACACTCATCTTAATCCTATTTCATGTTTCAAACATCCCAAAGTTAAGGGGTTTCCAGTCACTTGAACAAAAAAAAAAAAAAAAAAAAAAAAAAAAAAAAAGGAGGATAATTTTCACAGGTATCATTCAGGGTCAAGTCACAAACATCTTCAGCTGAACTGAATTTTCTTCAGATTGCAGCAACCTACAGAAGGTATCCACATTATCATGCTGGTTTTGTTTCATGCCCTCAACTTCATTACACTTGGGTCAGATCCAAACCCAGAAGTATAACAATGGAAAGACATGCAATTTTGACTTGGATTTGTTCCAGGTCAGCACCAGGATCTAGTATTTTTCTTCTGTGTCATACCTGAACCTTGGTGCAGATGACCTAAGAGGAGGTTTTGGGAGATAATTCCCCATGCAAACTGGGAGCCTGGTGTTCAACAACAGTGAAGCAGACAGAGCATTACTGCCTGTCACATCACTGAAGATATATAGCTTAACTACAGCACACACCTTGGACCTGAACCTTTCTTCAGGTTGCTTTTTGTTTCGCTGTAAAACAGCCATTCCTGTGGTACAATCCGTCACACATCTCACCTCTGAACTGCACTGCAAAAGTATTGCAAATGCTGAGTCGTGACAACACCACTCCATAAGGTCCCTTCTGTGAATATTTTACCCTCCTGCCTCTACATTCTGCTTATAAGAATCAGCCTTACCAATATTCAATCATTTCAGGTAAGCCTTTATTCCCTTACCCCTTTGCTAAGGGTTCAGCAGCAGCTGGTTTCATAGGCTGAGATTATCATCAGATAATCACATTCTGCCTCTCAGCATGACATTCTGCAGCTCCCAAGTGCTCCTAAACCACATCCATCATTTACTATCCATGCTGGATTTCCATAGCCCCTGCACTGTACATGATCACAAGATCCGCAGCCCCCCTGCAGTCGCTCTGATGTGTTTTTCTTATGTGGCTGAGTCACATGTGAATTCCAGCTAATGGGAATGAACACCATTACAGTAACTGCTCCGTGCTCTCACTGCCATTTTTTGTTTAAGAATTACAGGTGTTTCCAGCCCTGGTGCTTTTCCCCACCTGATCACCAGTATGACACTGGCCTCTGTTGGGCTGATCCCACAGTCAGTGCTCACCTCCTCACTCATGGGCTGAATGCCAGTTGTCTGCATCTCATCTCTGTAGTCTTGTGCTTGGGGTATCTGCCACAGCTCCTAAACCTGTCCTGTATTTCCTAAATGTTATAGCTCACTTCCTATAGATTTTTTTTTTCCTTTGAAGCATTTTGATCCAGAACAAAAGGAAATTTGTGCTTCGCATGTCTATAGGCACAGAATAAATAAAAATCATGCATGTGTTTCACATTATACTGCTATGAACACTTATTTAGTCATCCATTCTAGCAATCCATATACCTTACTTCCTAAGGTCTCTTATTAACTATCCACTAGCACTGAACAACTCACTACTTTTCACTGATGAAAATTATGTATTGTGTTTTAGTGTATCATTCAGTTCCTGTCTCCCACTCAAATCAGAAACATCAGAAACTATTTTTTACCAGATTTGCAGCACATGGAAAATTTCGAATGTCTTTGCAAAGCCCGAGATGAGGAGTACAGCTGGTACAGGCAAACCATTTAGAATTTGAAAAAAGCTTATCAGCTAGGCTATGATTCTGCAGACTAAAACAGATCTAAAGTCCATTGAACCCAGACAGAGTACCCTCTGCAGTTTCAGATAACGAATCCTATTTGTCCCTTTTCTAGATAAAATTATAGGTCTATGAATGGCTGAATTGGGTTAAAAAACTAACCTCAACCCACATCTTCCCCAGAATTAATCTCAGAGTTTACATGTCTATTTTTCCTGAGATTTTCTTACTGTTCTCATCAGCTTCTTCCTGTGGGGCCTGCAAACACACTCCAGGAAAGAAGCTTGCCAGGATATAAGAGAAATCTCACGAGAAATTCTGTTGTTGGTTCATTTCCAGGAAAATTCTGCAGACTCAAGACATACAAGTAAATTTCTTCAAACTGGGGAGACAATACCTGTGGTATCTCCAACAGCAACAGTGATCACTTCCTGTAAGTTGCTCTTAATAGTCTCATTTCTCAGATCCTGCTTGGACGTGAAAACATCATTTCCAGGCCAAGTAGCACAGTCATATGCAAGACTTAATCTAAAATACTGAATTTGTTTGAGTTTTACAGAGGGCTGCAGATATCTTGCTTGGAATTTAAAGAAAATTAGAGGATGAAAAGCCTTTACTCTTCCTCCTTCCCTATTTTCTTGGGCTTGACCCAGGTGTTTGTGGGTGTAACAGGAATGGGTTGTTCTGCTTGGGCCCAAGTCTGTGGTTCCATAAACATTTCTTTAGCAACACGATTAACCTAATTAGCTGCTGTGCTAGGAGTAAGGCAGATCTCCTGAGAATGTGTATGGGATAAACAAGGGTCTCAGAAGAACCACCACACTGAACAGGGAGCAATTCAGCATACTCAATGAGAAACTGCAGTACTAGCAAAGAGGAAAATGGAGAGGACAGGGGGGTACCTGAAATCCAGGAGAGATTTCCTCAGGACAGAAACCAAAGTAAGATATCTCTGTCTGATTGTGGTCCACAACTCAGAATGCTCTTGCAACACCAGAATGTCGTCTTTCATCTTGACAAGACCTACCTAAAAAGAAAAAAATACCACCAACATTGAGATGGGTCATTACAGAAAATCTCCAAGTAGTAACCACAACTCAAGTTTCCCTAATCCTAATACCAAGACACAATCTGTCCTCACATGCTCTGTTACTTTGCCTAACAAATTATACCATACACAGACACCTTTTTCTGGACTTAGCTGCCTCATGGGAGAGGTTACTGGTTGCAGCTGCAGTATCACCACCTTGGTTCAGCTTACATTGCAGGTGATAGCCAAGACCAATTAGAAAACAGTCCCACAACCAGCTCTCTTAGCTTGATCAAGAGCTCTGCTGTGTTCCCTAGCACACAGGCGGTGTGCTCAGCAGAGAGCCCAGCACTCCCACTGCACACTGTGTGTGCTACAAACATCAGCCAAAGTAGGTTCCTCAGGGAAGACAGATGGAGGAATTCCACCATCTCCTCCTGATCATGTTTGGAAAAGTCCTGGTCAATGGACTGCTCTGATTTGAAGCTTTCTAGATAGTTACAGTGCATTTCAAATACTCTTTTTTAATTATTATTATTCAAGGATTTTCATTTCTGAGACAGGTACTAATCTTTCAGAACACACTCCTTGGACACACACTCCCCCTCCCTTCAGTACAACATTAGGCAAACAAACTCAATTTTTTCTATCTATTTACCTTTTTCCTTACCTTTAGTGACTTTTACCCAGTTTCTAGCCCTAAGAGTAATCCATTTTACTTTCAGTGGTTGTAAGAAAGCATACCCATAGTAGAATTAGCTCCCAGTAAGATTAACATCTGACCTAATGCCAACTGAAGACACGAGATCCTCCTGTTTCAGTGGAGTGGGGAACCAAGCAGAGAGCAAAGCACTCTGCACCTATTTTTTGACTAAATCCTAGCAGTTTGAAATGCACATAGTTCACTTCAGAGATTAATTTTATACTGAATTATAGAAAGATAAATTGTTGACACAATCAAAGAAAGGCAACATATCCAGATCAACCAAATCACACAAAAGTTCTGATTTATGAACTATAAACTAATGTAGCCAAAGAGTTTCCTGATTAAAGAAAAAAATGCCACCCTTTTACAGTCTCTTTTAACTTCTTCAAAATGACTTTTTGTTGGTTTATAGTGAGGTAACTGTTGAGTTCATCAGGTCACAGAACCACACGAAGTTGCCGATCTAACCCTAAGTTCTGCAGCCCACAGTCACAAAGATGTCATTTCTGCAACTGAAAGCAGCTTGTGTGCAATTCCCAGGGAGGAATCCATCACAGCTTCGCAGGACCCCCGCTCTCGGGTGTCTGTTTGTAACCTGCATCTTTGCAGTGTAGCAACCACATTTCAACAATAAAACTTGTAGAGGTAATTTGATTTTAGTCTGCCAGCCAGCACTTCATTGCTAATACTTACGATGCCGTACCTATTTGTCTGAGAACATTAGCACTGAGATAATTAACTCTTCTGCTGGGTGTCTGGTTTATGCTCTTCACTGAAAACACACTGCTCCCAAAGAGACATGCCCTGCATATAAGCAAATCTAATCCCTAAATCTCTTACGTGGTCAGTAAATTAAAATCTAGGTTTGTAGCAGTTAAATGAATTCCCTTTTCCTGCTTTTTTTTCTCCCTTTTTTTGGCACTTTCTAGCAGAACAGTTCACATACAATCACTCAATGGCTGGAAAGTGGGCTTGGCAGAGGGAGCTGAGGCTCAGCATGGCTCCAGTCAAGACAAATGGCTGAATTATTGTGACGTTAGTAAACAGGTAATTAGTTTTGCATGTCATTGTTCACCACCTCAAGCTCATTACCAAAGTCTTACAACACTCTCTTTAAAAATTCAGATCTGTTTGACCTGCTACCAGCTATAGTGCATTTCAAGCACTCATGGATAAAGTGCAATCTTGTCAAACTGAAGACACCTGCTCCCAGCAGGAACACTACTTATGAACTGCCAAGTCTTTTGTTACAGTACCTTGAGAAGCAATGATCTTTCCATCTGGAATAACCAGCACCAACTTGGCTGCGACCACTCTAAAGCAATCTTTGAATATTTATTACCATGTGAAGTACATACAGCTATAAAAGCAGGATGTACACAAATACAAAAAAGGAGAAGACTACTCATGATAAATTTTGCTATTTGCCACACAAGAGTTTGAAATTCATTTTCTTTGGAAACTGGCTCCTAGTAAAAACTCTCAATTCTTTTTTCCCTACCACCACATCTGTCAGGGTGAAGCCCACCCCTGTATATATAACTTATTTCACAGCTGACACATATAATTCAACATATCTCCCCTTTCTGTCACTCTTGTGCCCAACAACTGTTGCTGATCTCAGGGTAGATAATTCATGCTATGAATTAATCAAGCTCTGTCCTTGTCTCTCCCCCGAAGCCCCCACTGCAGCCCAGGGCCATACCCAGCATGACACACGGCTCCACTCTGCCAGTGCTGTTAAAAGCTGCTCCTGCTCCCTTCCTCACAAGCTTTGCAGAGGAGTGTATACTGAACTATTTCTCTTTGCTTAGGTTTTTGTTTGATCTAATTTCTTCAGCTATTCATTCTCCTGGATAGTGGACTATGTTCTTCAGTTTACTTCTGATTTACAGCCATGTTTAATCCGTTTTGATCCAAGAAGAGCACTAGCACTGGATAATTCTTCCCTTGTCGTCTTTATTTTGTGAGGGTACCAGTGGTAATTTAAGCTAATTACATTTTAGCACTGTGGTCATTAAAACTCCAGTAAAAGCACAATATGGGACTTGGGTGAAAGTATCCCAGAATTTAGGTTTATTTCTAGCATTTTATTTGCTTCAGCGCCTTCCACAAGGGCAATGAGAAGTCTGATCGGGAGCTCAATGCTCCTCAGACTTCCAAAAGCAGTTTAATTCAACAACACATTCCTTGCTATCTTCTTGCCCTTAAGAGACCTCAATGAGCAAAGTCCATTCTGCAGCACTTAATCATATATATGCAAAAGTTGCACTTAGAATTTGGAGCCCACTGTGAGCCTATTTTTCTTGAACTGTTATTTTAAAATGCGCTTTAAATCAATTTTGCAGTAAACATGGGATATGTTTCAATAACAACCATTTTTCTCCTGATTAGTAAATTACTGTTGTTTCCAATGTTTCATTCTAACTACTACTTGCTCAGATTCACAGGAAAACAGAGCACTTAGTCAAGACAAACTTCCCTTTATTTCCATCTCAGCAGAGCAAGGTCTAGATTACTTTCGGAAAAACAGTTCTGAGCTGACAAAGTGAAAAATGTTGCATAACAGCAAACTTATAACATGGTAAGAAAGTTTTAATAGAAGGATTACCACTTGCTGTTGTAACTAGTTTAAAAGTCCTTTAAGACTCTCTGCTAAGAACAGACGATTATATTTGCAGTATTTATGTAATTTCTATTGGCTGGCTGTGTAATAATTTATGAAAGTTGTGACAGCACAGTGCTTTAATACAGATTAAACTATATTGAGAGAGGAAAATACAGCAAAATGCCAGTGTGCTGCACAGAATACCAATCCCAGGATCATCTAGAATTTTAAAACAATTCAGTTTGAAAAATACAAATTGTCTTTTCCCAACCATTGAACAATCTCTCTCAAGCACATGTTTTTCTGTGTGGGTATGCATTACACCTATCTCTTTGCATGATGTTATCTGTATGTCAGACCCCCATTGCACAGGCTTAGGAAGACATGAGCAAGTCATTCATATCATCTTTATCCAGGGACATCATATATCCTTAATGTTATATCATTGTGCATTCAGCATCAGCCATGTGTCTTAAAACTGTTATCACTGCTACTTGTACACATTTCTACTTGTAAAGCTGGGCAATCATAATGCAAGTCTTGGGGGAAGATGAAGGTTTTAACTTTCTAGTTCATGGCAGAACTGTCCAAAACAATTTCAAACAGTTCATAAAAAATGACTGTGATTGTATCAGGGGACTGCAGTGTGAAAAAAAAGTGAGGTCTGTCCTATAGGATAGGTAGAGCACATTTCTTTTCAATGACACTCCCATCTACAAGCCTGATAGATACTGGCAATAGGTTTCTCATTGAAGATTGGTATTTAAGACAGTAATTGGATAAGTTAGGTTTTACTTTGGTTTGAGGCTGGTCAAGAATTTCCGCATCCAGAAAATCAGCTAGCAGATCTAATAAGAAGTAAATCATAAATGCAACTAATGACAAAGATTTCATACCTATGTACCTGTGAATGCAAACAAAAACGCACATGCAAGCCCTAAAACCTGTAGATCTTGCAAATGCCAATTTGCAAGGTCCCTATTTCAATTAATATCAACTATAATCATATAGTAAACTAGGCATAATAACAGTAATTAAGACCTTGGCCTCTTAAAACACATCAGACACACACACAAGGGCAAAATCCAATTTGGAGAAATATATGGAGCATTCAAGGGTCGATATGGAGATTCTATCTAGGCTACCTAAATAAACAGGCAAATCAACCCTATTTAACAATGAAAGTGTTTTTCTTGAGATCTCAAGAGGATTTCCAATTATTCACAAGTGACTAACTGTGCGCTCCTTTCCCAGAATTATAAACGAGCCACCAGAAAATAGCAAGTTTGACAAAATTGTCCACCAGCCCATTAACTGTACAACTCTGCTAAATAGCCAGAGACAAGTCTAAATCTGCCAGAACCAGTGTCTCTCGGGTCTGCCAAGGGGATAGATGTTTCAGCTGCAAAATATCCATTTGCAGCTTGCCACCATCTGGACCTTGGAACCTGAGCGCTGAAGGGATGGGCACCATCCAGCTCAGGAGTGACCCTCTAGTTCTTAGAAAAATCTTTACAGTTAAGGATGACATTATTGAAAGGCGGTCAGGCTTGCTTGCTTGAGACAGCTATTTGTATTCACAAAAAGAAAAAAATATTTGACCCGTATTCCTTCAAAAGTCTATTTGTTATGTAATTCTAAAGATTAACTAAACATACCGACAGCTTTAGTTGTTTTCTGTTA